GAGTCTCATCGAACCGTCTTTCTTTTTGACAAACAGAACGGGTGCTCCCCAAGGGGAAACACTCGGAAGTTTGAATCTTTATAAATTATGTCTAATTTGTGGTGAACCTGGACATTTCCGAAGAGAATGTCCCTCTAACCCTGAATCATATTCAGTTACTTCTGTCCAAAATCAACCTGTTCGCTCAGGAACAAGTCAACGCTCTAAAACACGAAGCAATTCAAAGAGTCCAACCCAAGGATGATACTCTGTGAAGATCCTAAAGTGCTACAAGGGCTCGAGGATATATTGACTAATGTAGAAACCTTATGTAAACAAGAAATTAGCTTTCGATTTAAATCTCAAGAATATTCGTATTTTCTTGAACCTACGTGTGTTGAAACCATTGTATAATGAAATCTTTCATTTGACCCATCTTGAGAAATGTTTGATATTTACATGATGCATTCTGATATTGAAAATAGATATTTTTCTGACTTGCACTCGCCATGCAGCTTAGAATAATACTTATGGTTAACTCATAATGTTCATGGACAATATTATTCCAACATAAATTCAACTGAAATTACATAAAGTAATATTACAAATGCAAGTCTAAGTCCATTACCCCAGGATTTACAAATTCATCATACCTAGCCCCAGGACCTGGAAAAGCTTTAGCAAACGCTAGCTTGTCTAAAAGCTCATCAATAAAGAAAGAAGAGATGAAAAGTTTTCTCTGACTAGAAGCCATGAAGTTTTGTCTCACTGCGTCATCTAGAAATTTGATTAGGTTATTAAAATAACCGTCAATATTCAAGAGACCAATGGGTTTACTGTGCAACCCTTCAGATGCCCATGAGATCAAAGTGAACAAACCTTCCATAGTATCAATCCCTCTAGGAAGTACGATGAAGGCCTCCACTACATGATTCATCTCGAAATGCTTATAGTAATTGCTTGAAACTGTGTATTCTGCACCATACGTAGGTCCGTAGACTTGTCGTGCTGCTATGTACCCTGGTATGAAGCCTCTAACTATACCACCATTGGTATAGACTGTTGAAGCAACAGCTCCTTGAAGGCCAACGTTGCCTCCTCCATAGGTAAGTCTAATTTTTCGCCTTACCAATTCCCTTCCTAAATCCACCGCCGTAGCCATGAACTTTGGATTTCTACCAAGAGAATGACTACCAAGTAGACCAACGAATTTTAT